TGGGATTTCGGTTGTCCTCATGCCCTGGCTTCATTCAGGGCAATGCTAACGGTGGGAACTATGGTCCTGTGCGGGGACGAGAAAAGGCGCTGGAGAGTGGGGAGGGCGAGGCCCACCTATAGGGGACTTGAAGGAACTGGGCTCCCACTAAGGGTGCTAGGAAGCCTTTGTTTTCCACAAGGGTAGTAAGAGGAAGATCTAGGAGGTCAGGTCAGTACTTAGTTGCAACTGAGGGCAGAAGCGGTCCCTGTCTCCTCAGCAAGTCAGACTGGCCTCTTCACAGGGGTGAGCTCACCAGTGTCCTTTATGACCCTCCTACAGCCTTGCCTGAAGGTCTTCAGGAGAGCCAGGAGAGGCCGCTTGTCATATGCCTGGAACGCAAGGACTTCGAGTTGGCTTTTCTGCTCTTGACCAAGGGTGCGGACCCCCGTGGTGTCTCTCTCACGGAAGGTGACACTCCTTTGCATGCAGCACTGCACATCTTTCTAGATATCAGAGGTAAGCCCTTGTTTTCTAAGCAGGCTTTTCCTTGAGGAGGAAGCTGGAGATTAGAACTGACACTATACTTGGCGGTCTTTCCTTTTAGGAAAACCAATGATCTGAAATAGGCCTGTTTCTTGGCCAGGCCTGCCCACATCACCTGACCTCCTAACCCATAGCATAACGGGAAGAAATGACCATTACCATTCATAGCCAGGGTGGGTTGACTGAGGGTTATTAAGTTCCAAAGTGAGCTGACAAGTACTTTGCGTTTATTCACACCATTTTCAAGGTTCCTGACATAAAGAATCTTGCTAGAATATTATCAGGTTATTTCAGGAGGGTATTGACATTTGGGCTGGATAGTTCTTTGCTGTTATGAGCTCTCTTGTACATTATAGGATACTTAGCAGCATCCCTAGCCTTAAACTAGGAGCTTAGTATTAACCCCCTGGTTGTGACAATCAAAAAACGTCCCGAGGTACTTCCAAATGTCCCTTGTGGACTAAGTCACTCCTGGCTGAGGAGCACTAGGTTATACACTGGGCACTATATAATGGCAGGGAGAGGGGCAGGTGGAATTCAGTGATCTTCAGATGCCCTAGGCTGGCATTTCTCCTACACGCAGGATCTGCTGTGCCCCGAGAAGAGTGGTTCAGCACTCACAGAGTTTCATTGGTGTCTTTCAGCTGACGTTGGTTTTAACTTCCTGAGTTACCTACTGGATCTGTTCTGGACCAACCCCACTGAATTCTACTACCTCAACCCCAACGTCCAGGACAGCAATGGGAACACGCTGATGCACATCATCTTCCAGAAGGGCATGCTGAAGCGCATGAAGAAGCTGATAGACCTGTTGGCCAAGTTCGACATCAACCTCACCCTGAAGAACAAGGAAGGCAGAGATGCACGATACCGGGTCAAGAAGACCGACGCACTGCTCTTGGCCTGGAACAAAGCTCTGACCGAGAGCAGGCGGAAGAGCCGGCAGGACTCCATTGTCCACGTGGGGAAGCTCCCAAAGCCTACTGCCCCTGGCCATGTGTCTCAGTTCAAGTCCCAGGTCTCATCTAAAGAACTGCCATGCGGTGCTGCTGGCAGAACCCAGACTGAAGGAGCTGCAGTCCCTGACAGCTGGGAGACTCTCTCAGATGCCCACGTGACCAGGCAGGACCCTCGAGCCGTCAAGCCACACTCTCTGAGAGACCGCCTTGCACAGGACATTATGGTTTTGATTCAACAGGTCAAATTGGAGGCATCCCTTCCAGATGACTGTCCTCAACACTCCAAGTCTCTACAGGCAGAGACAGGCACAGGGGAAAAGAAAAATGAGCTTCAGCAAATGCTGGGTCTGGAAACTCCTGACTGCACTGAGAGGAACCCTGCCGTCCCTGAGGCAGGGGACGGACACGCTCCAGCAGGTCTTGGGGCCTCACCGCTTGTCCCTGTTGGGAGTCGGAAGAGGGAGGGCAACAGCAATCAGGATGACTGGAGCACGCAGGACATCGAGGCCTGCCTCCAGGACTTCGATAACATGACCTGGGAGATCGAGTGTACTTCGGAGATGCTGAAGAAGCTGTCCAGTAAAGTCATGACCAAGGTCATGAAGAAGAAGATCATCCTCGTCATCCAGCAGCTGGGGAACGGCGAGTGGACCCAGGGCCTGCAGAAGCGACTGAAGCACCTGAAAGGAAGCATCCAGCTCTTCGAAGCTAAGCTGGACAAAGGAGCCCGGATGCTGTGGGAGCTCGCTATTGATTTCTCCCCTCGATGCAGTGAGAACCCAGAGAAGATCATCGCCATGGAGCGGAACACATGTTCAATGGAGAAATCGGGGAGAGTCTACACAGAAATCATCCGGATCTGGGATGTTGTCCTTGATCACTGCAAGCTGTCAGATTCTATCAGGGCTATCTGCAGCGCCTACAACCGGGGCTTGTCCTGTGTTCTGCGGAAGAAGCTGAAGGGTATCAACAGGGACCAGGTGTCAGCTAACATGAAAATCCAGAGGCGCATACCTCGCTGCTATGTGGAGGACACAGAGGCAGAGAAGAGCAGGGAGCATGCTGACCCTGAGTACTTCCCCCCAGCCAGTGCAGTGGAGACGGAGTATAACATCATGAAGTTCCACAGCTTCAGCACCAACATGGCCTTCAACATCCTCAATGACATGACGACCACGGTGGAATACCCCTTCCGTGTGGGCGAGCTCGAGTATGCTGTGATCGACCTCAACCCCAGGCCACTGGAGCCCATCATCCTCATTGGGCGAAGTGGCACTGGGAAGACGACCTGCTGCTTATACAGATTGTGGAAGAAATTCCACGTTTACTGGGAAAAAGCTGAGCAGGCTGGAAGTCCATTGCTGGCCAAACAGATCTGGCTAAAGAGACGGTTAGAAGCAGAAGCTGGAAAAGAGGGTCTCAGTGGGGAGGAAAATGAGCAGGAGGAGCATGAGGAAGAGGACAGTTCCCTTGAAGTGGAAATAGCAGACAGCACAGATGAGGAGCAGGAGAACAGAGACTGTGCAGAGGCCACCAGTGAGGAGCCAGTGGGGGTCAGCCAGCCAGCAGAGGCATGTGCACCTGAACACCCCCACGAGCTGGAGCACTTACATCAGATCTTCGTGACCAAGAACCATGTCCTGTGTCAGGAGGTGCAAAGGAATTTCATTGAGCTTTCCAAGTCTACCAAGGCCACCAGTCACTACAAACCACTGGACCCCAGCGTCCACAAACTTCAAGACCTGAAGAATGAGAACTTTCCTCTGTTTGTCACTTCCAAACAGCTGCTCCTCCTGCTTGATGCTTCTCTGCCTAACCCATTTTTTCTGAGAAATGAAGATGGAAGCTTGAAAAGAACCATCGTAGGATGGTCCACACAGGAAGAGGTGACCCTCTCCATTTGGCACAAGGACGAGGAGGAGGCTGAGATGGAAGTGGACCACAGCGAGGAGGATAAAGTTGCCGAAGTGCATACTGGTGAGAGTGACCCCCGAGTGTATGTGACTTTCGAAGTGTTCACCAAAGAGATTTGGCCCAAAATGACCAAGGGGAAAACCTCCTATAACCCTGCACTGATTTGGAAAGAAATAAAGTCTTTCCTGAAGGGTTCTTTTGAGGCCCTCAGCTGTCCCCGTGGGAGACTCACTGAAGAAGCATATAAGAAATTAGGGAGGAAACGGTCCCCCAATTTCAAGGAGGACCGGAGTGAGATCTACGGCCTCTTCTGTCTGTACGAGCAGATCAGGTCCCAGAAAGGTTATTTTGATGAGGAGGATGTCTTGTTCAACCTGTCCCGGAGGCTGTCAAAGCTCAGGGTGCTGCCGTGGTCCATCCACGAGTTCTATGGTGATGAGATTCAGGACTTTACCCAAGCCGAGCTGGCACTGCTGATGAAATGCATCAATGACCCCAACGCCATGTTCCTCACTGGTGACACGGCCCAGAGCATCATGAAGGGCGTGGCCTTCCGCTTCAGTGACCTGCGCTCTCTGTTCCACTACGCCAGCAGGAACACCACAGACAAGCAGTGCGCCATCCGGAAGCCCAAGAGGATCTACCAGCTCTACCAGAATTACAGGTCCCATTCGGGTACGTCCAGGCCGTGGGCTCACTTACCAGCGAGGTGCTCGGCGCTGACCTTGAACTCTTCTTCCTCCCTTTTCCCCTTCCTTTCTCCCTGCCATGAGTGAGACAGAGAGGTACCCCCAACACGGTCTTCACACCGCGGCCCGCCTCTAGCCCCAGGCAGCCCTAGGTCATGGGCACATACTCAGGGAGGTCTCTGGATGTGAACCTGGTACCTTCCTACGTGGGTCAGCCTCACAGAGTATGGTTCTTTACCATCGTGCCACCTTCCAACCCCTGGGCTGCTTCTGAAGCTGCTCTAGTTAGGCTGTTGCTGCCGAAGTGAGCATGGTATTTTGAAGTTTGTTAGTAAAGACATCCATGAACAAGAACAAGAGATACTACTATTTATGTCAGTACTTGTCCTTTTTGTTTTTAAAGTTTATTTATTTATTCCATGAGGCACAGAGAGAGACAGACAGCACCCCAAAGAGGGTCCCCGTGCTGCAGTCTACCCCCGGCCTCATCCAGCTCGGGTCTTGAGCACATATGCACCCTGGTGTGCTCAGGGAGTCCTGAGGTACGAACCCAGAACTCTTCCCGTGTGGATCCAGTTGTGTTTCCGCTGCATTGCTGCTTGGACCCGTCATTGATTCTTACGTTATAATTCAGGTCGTGGCTGGGTGAAAATGGACTTTTAAGAAATTGTATTTTGGGACCAGCAGTTAGTGTAGTGGCTATGTCGCTGGACTCCCATGTAGTCGACCACGGTTCAAGTCTTGGACCCGGTGGCTTAAACTCATGCCGGGTACATGTGCGTACATGCCCAAGATCCCTGGTGTGTTTTTCAAGCCACCTGCTCTGGGACTCGAACCACACTGTAGGTCATGTGGGCTCCAGCCACCTTAACCACCATGCCATTGTCTGGCCCTAAATTTTTAAGATTTATTTTATTTCCTTGATGAGAGAGAGAGCACATGTGAGAGAGAGAGACCCCTTTACTCCTCATGCTGGGATCCTCTTCCCCCAGGTCTCCAGCCAGTCAGGATCCTGGGTACAAATGTGCCCAGGATATTTCAGCTGGAGTGGGGGTCCGAACTTATGGTTGGCCATGTGGCTCCCCGCACTACAGGACAGCACACTACCACCTGCAGCACCGTGGCCGGGCCTCTCATGATTGCCTTATGTCATAGACTTTTAATAATGGTAGTACAGGACAGTGACGTTTCCCTTCCCCGTTAGCTAATAGAAATAGGAACACCTACGCCCATGCCAGGGTGCCCTGTACAGACCATTATGCCCTGTCTGGTTTCAGGCCAAGGGCACGTGGCCCCTCCAAGTACTGGAGAGACTCAGAACCGTCTGTGTTCAGCCCATTCTCAAATCCCATCACTCGGGGGGTGGAGAGGGTGGCAACTTCTCAGACTTGAGAGTCCCTATTTGTACAAGTGCAGTTGTCTCGTCTATCTCACTGGATAGTGCGAGGATGACATGGTAAGGTTCCGGTGGAGGTGCCCATCCGATAATAGATACTCGGTCAATGTCACTGTCATGTCACCTCAGAGCTTGGACGAAAAATGGGACTCAGGGAGAAAGCTCTTGGGAAAAATCTGTTCTCTGGCGCTGACACTTTGTCGTCGTTGTTTTTAACGTAGTCCTGTCTCAGGTGGGTGTACACTTGATGGAGCCCCGAGTTGCTGCCCCCAGCCAACCTCCAGCGCTGCTGTCACCATGGCAACCTTGCTTCCATTGCTCTAGCCACCAGTGAGGGCGCAGGGTAATTTTCCTTTCCTCTCAGAGGCTATGCCGGCCTCGTATGCGAGCATTCTAACAGCTTGCATTTTTAAAATTACGTTTCTGCCCTGGCTGTTCTTCCTAAGTTAATTTCCTCTAAAAGGAATTTAAGTTGGGAATGGGATCTCAAAACCCTCTTAGTAGAGCAACGCACCTCTGCTCCCACCCACTTCACTCAGAGTGGTATGGCGTGGGGCCATGGTGATAGTCACATGGGGACTGGAAATCCTAGGCTGTCCATTATACGGGCTGTCAGGGCCAATGCTGCTTCTCAGGAGCTCAACCAAACCAAAGCAAAATGACAAAACACCTGAAAACAAAACAAAACAACCAGAAAGCTTACCATGTGGATTCTCTCTGATCTGTGTTTACCGTGCCATCCAGGAGTCCTCAATCTGGCATCCGGAGTGGTGGATTTACTTCAGTTCTACTTCCCAGAATCTTTTGATCGCCTTCCAAGGGATACTGGCCTTTTCGATGGTCCCAAACCCACTGTCCTGGAGTCTTGCAGCGTCAGCGACTTGGCGATTTTGCTAGGAGGGAACAAGAGGAAAACACAGCCCATTGAATTTGGAGCCCACCAGGTGAGCTTCTTAGGATTCTATGTTTTGAAAGAAAAAAGGCAGTTCGAGGAAAGATTTTAAAGACGGAATTATTCTGTAAGGTAGAATTAAATAACCCCTATTCCAGCATGAGTGAGTTTGGAGATGGGTAAGTGACTAGTTTTTTTTTTTGAGAAGTTTTTGCTCGCCACAAAGAGACAGAGACAGAGACAGAAAGCGAGAAATCATCCCCCAGGGAAGATGACCACGCCGCAATCCCTTCTCCTCCATTCTCCTCTCGGGATCTTGGGCACACACACACACGTGCCTGGCGTGAGTTTAAGCCACTGGGTCCAGGACTCAAACCGCGGTCAATGATATGGAAGTCCAGTGACATAGCCATTACGCTAACTGCTGGTCCCTTGTTTTGGTTTTTGATTTTCCAGAGGGTGCATGCTCTGGGGAGAAAAAGAGGAGAAGCAAGAAAGTACCCACTCATGAGACATGGTTTCTTCTCCTCCAACTCTCTCTATTTTGAGGATTTTGGGCACACCAGCACATGCGCCCAGTGTGTTTTGCAAGCCCCCCAGATCTAAGACTTAAACTGCACAGTAGGCCACATGGGATCCAGCTCACATAACCACCAGGCCACCGACTGGCCCTTGACTAATTGTTTTCCTATTTCCTTGGCCTGCCTGGCCAAGTACATGCTGGCCACATCTCCTTAGAGACAATACCTGCTTCTCATAGAAATAGGCTGAGCTTCACTAGGTTTTTCTCTGTAGAGTTTGATGTTGTTTGTTTTGTTTTTGTTCAGGTAATCCTTGTAGCTAATGAAATGGCAAAGGAGAAAATTCCAGAAGAACTGGGGTTAGCACTTGTGCTAACAATTTATGAAGCCAAAGGCTTAGAATTCGATGATGTCCTGCTTTACAACTTTTTTACTGATTCTGAGGTATGTCATACTAAATTCTTTTCATACAGTGAGTGTATTCGTATGAGCTGAACTTTTTTTTTAAAGAATTATTTTATTTTAAATAAGAATTTTTTTTTAACTTTATTTGTTTATGTTTTAATTTGACCAGAGAGGTACAGAGTGAAAGAGAGAGAGAAAGTGGGAAAGCAAGCCACCGGGTCCGGGACTCGAACCTCAGTCAGCCTTGTGGGAGTCCTGTTGTTGCTGGACTCATACTAGGCCCCAGGCCCTTGGTTATCTTAATGCTATGCTCCTATCACTTGCTCAGTGAGTTGCACAAAAAATTAAAACAATCTGGGACCAGCAATTGGCATAATGGCTATGTTGCTGGACTTCCATGTAGTCCACCGTGGTTCAAGTCCCGGACCTGGTGGCTTAAACTCACACTGGGCGTGTGTGTGTGCGTGCCCAAGATCCTGAGAGGAGAAGGGATTGCGGCGTGGCCATCCCCCCTGGGGGTGGTGGGGATGATTTCTCACTTTCTGTCTCTCTGTCTTTCTGGCAAGCACAAGCACCCTATAGCAAAAACCTCTCCAAAAATAAATAAATAAATAAATACATAAATACATAAATAAATAAATAAAACAATCCCCATCTGAGTCTTTTGGTAACATCTGCTTCATCCTATGTGTACAATAAGACTTCTAAAAAGACTTTGGATAAGGTACTTGTATGCTGGTTTCTTTCTAAGTGACTAACTGACCAGTTCTGCTTGCTTTCGTTCTATATGCATGTGTGGATGGGACTGGAGGGTCTTTGGAAACGAACTTTTTTCCTGAGAGATTTTTGCTATTGGGTGAGTGTGCCTGCTGGAGAGACTGAGAGAGACAGAGAGACAAAAAGCAAGAAATCACCCCCTGGTCTGGGGGGATGGCCATGCCATAATCCCTTCTCCATTCTCTTCTCAGGGTTTTGAGCATGCATGCACACATGCCCGGTGTGAGTGCTAAGCTGCTGCGTCTGGGACTCATACCATAGTCGATTACGTGGGAGTCCAGTGATGTAACCATTACATCATCTGCTGGTCCCCAGAAACATAGAAGGTGGGCTGACTAGGACAGTCTAAGCTTTTTTTTTTTTTTTTCTTCACAATTATTGGCCTCGAGAGAATAAGTTGGAAGACTTTTAAATGCTGCTGCTTTTATTGCCACAAGTGTTTTAGGCCTGTATCCTCACAAAAACACACTCGCTCCTAAGAGGCTTCATCTTGAAAATAAAATATGTTTGATTCATGGAAACAGGTCAGTCATGTGCCATCTGAGCATCTTCTGCTTTTCTTCCAGGAGTTTTAAAACACTCTGTGCTTCTCCAGCTCTCTCAAGGCCTGAGAGCCTGCACCTTACGCTGCCTGCCAGGAGGACCCTCTCAAGTGTCAAGCACTTGCGTCTTTTGCCTGCTTTCCCTGGCAAAAACATTCCGCTGTCTAAATAACTTCACAAAGAGGATAATTGCAGAGATGCCTTGAGGTTGTTCTAAATCTTCCAACCACTTAAATGATTACATGATTGATGGCTTTGTTTTCAAAACAAGGTGGCTAATTCTTAATTAATTAGTAGTATAACCATTCCTATTTAATAGACAATATTTAAGGCATTCAGCCTAATTTAGCCTACCTTATTTTTTTTTGAGAATTGTTTATTGGGACCAGCAGTTGGTGTAATGGCTATGTTGCTGGACTCCCACGTAGTTGACCGTGGTTCAAATCCCAGACCTGGTGGCTTAAACTCATGCCGGGCACGTGCAGGTGCATGCCCAAGATCCCAAGAGGAGAATGGAGGAGATGGGATTACAGCGTGGCCATCACCCCTGGGGGGTGATTTCTCACTTTCTCTCTCTCTCTGTCTTTCTGGCAAACACACGCGCCTTATAGCAAAAACCTCTCCAAAAAAAGAGAATTGTTTTTTAATTTTATTTATGATTATTTTTTAATTTGCTACAGGGCACATGCACTCACGAGAGAGAGAGAGAGAGAGAGAGAGAGAGAGAGAGAGAAGGTGAGAAGGTAAGCCACCATGTCAGTCATGTGGAAGTCTAGTGCCTTAACCACCATGCCACCTGCTGGCCCCTAAGCTTACTTATATAGTTTAAGTTATGGGATAGCTTGAAGCAGGTAATGAACCATATCCACTTAATTTTTTCAGTATTCTTGAAAAGTACATAGACAGCAACTAGCACCGTTTTTTATTGTGAAAAGGCTGGGAGAGTAAACTACTTACTCTCATAGCACAGTAAAGTGTGAAATCCGAAGCGTCTTAGGAATTTTGGATTCTAAATACTGCATGGATCTGGCTACTTTGGCTTTTCTAGGTGTTGCAAACCACAGCCTGCTCAGTTCCAGCCTACTGACTGTTTTTGTAAGGCCTATGGACTAAGAATGGTTTTATACTTAAAAATGGTTGGGGGGGAAAAAAAAAGCAAACAAGAAGAATATTTTGTGACACTATTTATGATTATATTTGATACAGCGCACATGCACTCGCGAGAGAGAGAGAGAGAGAGAGAGAGAGAGAGAAGGTGAGAAGGTAAGCCACCATGTCAGTCATGTGGAAGTCTAGTGCCTTAACCACCATGCCACCTGCTGGCCCCTAAGCTTACTTATATAGTTTAAGTTATGGGATAGCTTGAAGCAGGTAATGAACCATATCCACTTAATTTTTTCAGTATTCTTGAAAAGTACATAGACAGCAACTAGCACCGTTTTTTATTGTGAAAAGGCTGGGAGAGTAAACTACTTACTCTCATAGCACAGTAAAGTGTGAAATCCGAAGCGTCTTAGGAATTTTGGATTCTAAATACTGCATGGATCTGGCTACTTTGGCTTTTCTAGGTGTTGCAAACCACAGCCTGCTCAGTTCCAGCCTACTGACTGTTTTTGTAAGGCCTATGGACTAAGAATGGTTTTATACTTAAAAATGGTTGGGGGGGAAAAAAAAAGCAAACAAGAAGAATATTTTGTGACACATGAAAATTATATAAAGTTCAATGTAGTATCCATATAGAAAGCGTTATTGAACATAGCTCACTCATTCATTCACGTGTTTACTGTGGTGGCTTTAGCACTGCAACGGCAGAACTGAGTTGCTGCAAGAGAGGTCATGTGACCCGCAAAGCCCAAAGTATTACCTGAGTCTTTAGAGAAAATATTTGCCAGCCTGGTCAATTGTCACCTTGGTTTAGAGGTTTGAGTAGAGGAAAAAGAAATGGGTGAAATACCTATCAGGTATTGTATTAGACACCTGGCTTTCACGATCTCCTTTTATTTTGCCAACAAACTGGGTAGTTCTGTTATCTCCATTTTACAGCAGGTGAATAAACCGTCTCTAGTTCACGTATTAATAAGTGGAATCTTTGAGATTTGGGTTGTCAGGACAGTCATGGCACAGTTTTATATATAGAAACAAATATGTCATGACTTTCCCGACAACCTAGCATTACTTGTTCTATCTGCTCTCAGAGCCTACCTTGCACGGCACACCCACCCTGTAGCACCTGCATATTCTTCTATCCTTGGCTGAATAATTTGGTTGGATGATTCTGCCATGCATGTCCTAACTGCTGATCTTAAAGGCATCTCTCTCTCTCCCTTTTTATTTTTATTTATTTATTTATTTTTGGCTATATGGTGTGTGTACTTGCTGGAGAGAGACAGAGAGAGAGAGAGAGAGAGAGAGAGAGAGAGAGAGAGAGAAATCACCTTGGTTGGGCCAGCCAGTGGCGTGGTGATTAAGGCGGCTGGATATACATGACCCATTGTACAGTTTGGGTCCCAGACCCAGCAGAGCTTGAAAAACATGTGTGCATGCCTAAAATCCCCAAAGGGGAAACAGAGAAGGAATTACAGTGTGGTCATCTACGATCGGGGGGCGGGGGGAGGAGGATGCTTTCTCATTTTCTCTGTCTTTCTTCAGTGAGCACAAGGACTCTCTAGCAAATTTTTAAAAAGAAAAAAAGAATCATTGGGGAATAGAGAGGTAGGAGGGGATTAAGAAGCAGAAAAAGGGACCAGCAGATGGCGTAATGGTTACACTGCTGGACTCACTAGACTCCCAAGTAGTCAACCGTGGCTTCAAACTCATGCCAGGCACATATGTGTGCATGCCCCAAATCCCTAGAGGAGAAGGGACTGCAGCACGGCCACCCCATCCCCCAGGGGGGATTTCTCACTTTCTGCCTCTCTCTCTGGCAAGTGCATGCACCCTATAGCAAAAATCTCTCCCTAAAAACAATAAAGAAGCAGGGAGAGAGAAAAGTCAGGTAGATGGAAGGGTTACAAAGTCTTTATCCAGCAGATACAAGTATTTAATAGCTAGGAATATGTACTCGCACAAGTAGGTCAAGGGGGGAAATGTGGGTCTACTGACGCCCATAGAGAACGGTGTTGACTCTGCTATAAGCTCTTGCTTCCCAAGAAACCCTGGGTCTGCAATAGATGGCATCCCAGTTGTTATTAACGCTGGGATCGCAGAGCTCTGAAAAGCAAACACACAGAATTCCAGTTGGTATTCTGATAGATCAGCTGTGTTTAGGATTTTAATCACTCTGAAGTAATTTTTTATAGCCTAATCACTGGGTGGACTAAGCTACAATTAGGTTATGACCCTGACTGGCCACAATGATCTCTGTGAAGCAGAGCAGCGTGGAATGTATCCACCCTCCCTTACAACCTCAGCTCATTCATCTCTGTTGTCTTTTCATAGCTATCAAATCTTATCCTCTGGGTAAACAGGGAAGCACTGACAGCAGATTACGGAGTAAAGAACTGAGAATGAGACAGTGCGCAGAACCTGAAGGGGTGGTGGCTGGAAAGTAAAAGAAAACACATCGGTGGGTACATTCTTGTTGCACACTGACAAAGATTTATTCAAGTACCCATAACAGCCTTTGGTCTCTGTGTTTTCTGAGTAAATGGCCTGGAGACGCAAAGAGAAATCTGTGAGGATGCGACTGAAGATGCTGGGGGAGTCACAACTAACTTTCGAGCTGTTCAAAGGGACCCTAAACATCTCTCTCCTCTCCTAACATGACAGATACGAAGGAAGCTTCAGTTTATGCAAGAGACTAAGTGAAAAGGCATATGAAGGGTGATGGAAATACCTAACAGAGACTACAAAAACTATATCCCCTTCGGTAGGGGTTGGGACCCTGGAACTTCTTTCTGGGTTTCCTTTCTGGTTCTGAAACCCTGGGTGATTGTGGCATATGCCAATTAATGCCATGGGACAATTCTCAGGGCAAGAGAGCCTTGATGAAAATCTCAGAATGCAACCCACCTACTCACCCAGTTAGAGCCAGTCCCTTGGCAACACTTGGTGTCCTACCTACCCTTTATCTCAATGGGGCCCTCAAGCCAAAGAGCTTGAAAGTAACCAGGTCTGTACAGCTCCTCTGTTAACCTAGCCTCTCTGATCACCGGACACAAGAAAACCATGTTCTTACTAAACTTCATCTTAGGTTGAATACTGGCCCATAAACTACTACCTGGACAAATTGAGACCTACGTGAAATATGAGAGGCTCAGCAAAGTTGCTGGGTCCCTGTGCCCCACCTCCCTCCCCATCCTAGAAGAGGATTAATGATATAAATTAACCTCAGCCCAAAGTATGTAAATAAAGCAATAGTTAATAGTCATTTCAGAAAGCTAGTACACCACTGTTTCATCTTCACTCCTTAATGACCTCTGTGCTACCAGAATAGTGAATAGGTCAGAGGCCAACCGTGGAGATGGGAGGACCACATATTTCAAAGCTTCACACAAAAGAGGTACTGCTGAGTGACAGGCACATTTACTCTCCGCACTCAAAACCAATGCAGTCATTCCTTCTGCATTTTCATATGATTCGGCTTGAAGGAAAAGCATTAAAGACTCCTGAAACAGAACTGCCGAGGCAATGAATGGTCCATGATACTTAAAAAAAATAGGTGACAGTTTATAGTACAGTATTCTTTTTTTTTTAATTTTCTTTTTAATTTTTTTGAGAGGCTTTTGCTATAGGGCACGTGCACTTGCCAGAAAGACAGAGAAAGACAGAGAGACAGAAAGTGAGAAATCACCCCCCCATGGGGGATGGCCACACCGCAACCCCTTCTCCGTTCTCCTCTAGGGATCTTGGACACACACGCACATGCGCCCGGCGTCAGTTTAAGACACTGGGTCCGGGACTTGAACCATGGTCAACTAAATGGGAGTCCAGCGACATAACCATTACGCCCAGTACTGGTACCAGTATTTATTTTTTAATAGAGATGTGTTTATAATTAAGGAGACTAATAAAGATCCAAACTATTTCTTGAGCTATCTATGAAATTTTCTGATACAAAGACCTCAGAGTCCAGCAGTAGAAAGAAAACCCATGCTCAGAAGCTGAAAACCTGAATTTTACTTTGGTTCACCACTAAGTCCTTTCACTGAGCTTCAAATTCCTCATTTATTTAATGAAGGGGCTGAAACAGGGAACTTCCAAGGTCTCAATCAGCTTTCTCAAAAAGCAGCATCTTAATGGGCACTTTATTAAGCAGGAAGGGAGGGTTAGATATTTTTGACAGTCTGGCCATTACCATCCTCTACCCCATCTTTTCAGGCTTGCAAAAGTGTGCATAGCCTTTTCAGCTTGATTTGAGATGTGAACCCAGGCCTCCCATGTGGCCCCAACCTCATGTAGCAATGTTGCACCACTGGTACCATCACAGTAAGGCCTCGGGTGTGTTTTTTTGTTTAGTTTTGTTTCGTTTTGAGAGGTTTTTGCTATAGGCACATATGCTTGCCAGAAAGACAGAGACAGAGAGACAGAAAGCAAGAAATCACCCCTCCAGGGAGGATGGCCATGCCATAATCCTTTCTCCTCTATTCTCCTCTCGGGATTTCAGACATGCATGTACATATGTCCAGCATGATTTTCAAGCCTCTTTGTCCAGCACTCAAACCACAGTCAGCCACGTGTGAGTCTAGCATCTTAACCATCATGCCACCTGCTGCCTCAGGAGGCATTTTTTCACCATGTTGTAAGAAGAACTCATCTCTTAGCCATGTTGTAAGAAGGACTGGGGATTCCTCTGTCCATACTGCTTATTGAAATCCTTCCAAATCGGCGAACTGCCTGGGCCCCCAGCATCCCTCCCAGAAGTGAGGACATGGGCCTGACTGCTCAGCTGTCTTGGCCAACTTTCTCGGAAACTTCCATAATAGCTTCCCTGCTCCCTTTCTATGTGACCTTAGCCCCTCCTTCCATTCATTCTGAAGCCATAGGATAGACCCCTTCTCGTAGGGTCTGGCCTGCACTGGGCCCCAATTCTCCATGTAGCTTGGAGAGAATGTAACTGTAGTTTAAAAACATACTCTGTTGATTTTTAATTTTTTTGTTGTTTTTCAGGCTTACAAGGAGTGGAAGATTATTTCTACATTCACTCCATCATCATCTGGCTCCAGAGAGAAAAACCAGCCATTGGTTGAAGTGCCTCTGGAGAAACCAAGCTCCTCTCAGAGTCGGTCTCTCATGGTGAATCCAGAAATGTACAAGGTGTGTGTGCAAGGTGTCTATTTGTCCACACACTTACTTGACTGTGATCAGTAAATAAGGCTTAGAAGAGAAGGTGGTATGTCAAGGGAAGCCTTCTACTTGGCTGGTCTTCCCGTACATCAACAAGGGGAAGGAAGTAGTATGGATGTTGGTGGTGGCAGACTCCTTTTTATCTCCGCAGAGAGCTGGGGTTGAATGGTGGGATGATGTCTGACAGTGGAAAGGGGAGGGTTGCACCTTCTGTTCACCTCTGGAACTTAGCTCTAGTCAGAAATTTTGATGCGGTCTTGGGTGAGATTTGAGTAATTTAGTACTAATAATAGTTCTAATAGAAGCTCAAGACTGGTTTAGTCTTTAAAAGGAAGTCACAGAAATTGTGTAAGATGTAACCATTGAGTTGAACTGAATGAAGGGTCTATGGGACCTGTATATGGGAAGTTACTGTCTTTGTAACTTTTGGCGAATTTATAATTATTACACAATTTAAAAAACTTACATAAGATTTAAGAGTCTTCCTATGTTCTTACGTTCTTGGTGTGCCTTACTTTTTAGGTGGGGTAGGGGTGGAGTTTATTACAGTCTCACTAGATCCTCATTTGTCTCTTCTTTTTTTTTTTTTTTGGAGAGATTTTGGTTATAGGGCACGTGTGCTTGCCAGAAAGACAGAGAGAGACAGAGAGACAGAAAGTGAGAAATCATCCCCCAGGGGGGATGGCCATGCTGCAATCCCTTCTCCTCCATTTTCCTCTCAGGATCTTGGGCACGCATGCACACATGCCTGGTGTGAGTTTAAGCCACTGGGTCCAGGACTCGAACCACAGTCAACTACATGGGAGTCCAGCGACGTAGCCATTATGCTAACTGCTGGTCCTCTTCTTTGGTCACAGTGAGTGCCTGGTGTCTTACTCATAGATACGCTCACAGAAATTTAGCTTTTTTCTTTTTTAAACTCAGAGTAAGCCCCCTGAAGTGTGTCACAGTGTAGCTACAGAACAAAGTCTCATCATCATGGTCCTCCATCTTGTCGATTTCCTCTTTAGCTCCTCAATGGAGAGCTGAAGCAGCTGTACACTGCCATCACACGAGCACGGGTCAACCTCTGGATCTTTGACGAAAACCGAGAGAAAAGGGCTCCCGCTTTCAAATATTTCCTTAGAAGAAATTTTGTCCAAGTCGTGAAGACAGATGAAAACAAAGGTAAGAGCTCATTGAATTATTATTTGGGAGAAGCATGTTTCTCTCAATTGTTCTTATAGTCAGAGATAAAAGAGTGTAGTTTTTTGAAAGCTATTTCTGTTGGGTTGTTTGAAAAGTCATGATGTATTTTTTCTATGTAAAAACATGTTACAACTTTTCCGATGACCCAATACCATCTTTTGAGAAGTGAGATTTCTTTTTCTTTTTCTTTCTTTCTTTTTTTTTATTGTCAGAGGGCATGTGTGCTCATCAGAAAGAAACAGAGAGAGACTACACCACTTTCCAATGGATGTAGTCACATCGCAATCCCTTCTCCCCCGTTTCTCCAGCCTGTTGGAATTTTGGGCACTCATGTGCAGTGTATTTTTCAAACTGCTTCGTCTAGGATTTGAACCACAATGAGCAATGTGACATCTGGCTTCCTTAACTACCAGGCTGTGGGGTCAGCCTAAGTGAGAATTATTCATTTGCTAAAGTATGTGAGAAATTGTGGTTGTATATAATAGAATCAGGAAGATTAACTCCTTTAGGAAAGTGCTTTTATTTTGGAGAGGGTTTTCACTATAGTGCGTGTGCACTCGCCAGATAGACAGAGAGAGACATAGAGACAGAAAGTGAGAAATCACCCCCCAGGGGGGATGGTCACGCTGCAATCCCTTCTCCTCCATTCTCCTCTCGGGATCTTGGGCATGCACGCACATGCGCCCGGCGTGAGTTCTAAGCCACCAGGTCCGGGATGTGAACCGGGGTCGACTACGTGGGAGTCCAGCAACATAGCCATTACACTAACTGCTGGTTCCCTCCCGAGGGGAAACTCTTTTGATAGGATAACTGAGAAATCATTAACCGTTTGTAAAGGAGAACATTGCTGTCTTTTTTGAGGGTTAGTTACTGAGCTATTACCTGTAGGGGAAGGGGCGGGGCTCAACCACTGTGGAGAGGTTTGCTGATTTCTTTAGCATTTCTCAGCAGGTTTTATAGAGGCTATTTCTGGTTATCACTGATAGTTCATCTGGGGACCAGAATCAGGTTTTCTCTTCCTAGGAACTGACTGTTGTGGTGTGATGGGAAAAGTCAAGGGCTTGGAGTTAAAAAGCCTGGCTTCTCATGAAAAGTCTCCACCTGTGTAGCCACATGACCTTGTTTTTCTCTCTGGGCCTTTATTTTGTCAACTAGGAGAAAAATGAGTGGGTTTTCTAAGCATGGTAGTTCTCAGTCATTCCTGCAGCTAATATCCTTTATATTCTCAAAATATGTTCTGGTACCCGCTATAAGAGATCCTCAAGACAGACAAGTTTTTAAATTGAAGAATTCAGAATGAAAAAGGATGACAATTTATTTTATTTCTTGGTAGCACTAAGAATGCAAAAAAGTGCAGGCTTAATTACAAGTTACAAGTAGTAGCAGTCTTTATAGTAGTCTTTCAGAGCCTTGGCTTCCACTGTGCAAGGGAGCTTGGGATGAGTGCTGTTACTGTGCAATTTGGGTTTCTTCAATATGGTACCCGTAAGGTTTAATGGCCCTATTCAGAGATAATATAAGGTTTTTCTGTGGGCATAAAATATCACCATGGTACTAATAGCATCCATAGAGTCAGAACAAGATTCTGTAAAATTGTCATTGCATAGTTCTGTAGAGCATTAGCAGCGGGAGAGCAGGAAGGGATCAGGCTAGGAGTCTTAATGGGTGTTTTGCACTTTGTAAGTAAATCTGACATGTCTGCAGCACCCCTCTGTCCTCAAGTTGGTATCTGCTAGCCTATCTCACCCCTGAAGCTGTGACTTGGCTGTCAGCATTGTCCTGGTATTCACTGTCTTTCATGTACTTCAGGAAGCAGAGGCTCAAAACCCACAAGAATTGCCACCCCTTGCTGGTGATACTCTGGGGCTCTGGGTGGGGAAAGCCAGTAGAGTCGCCATCAGGCTAGTGTGGATTATAGAAGGGATGGACAACTGGTGGTGGCAGTAGTCCACCAACAGGAATGTATTAGGTTGCTCATTATTGCAATGAGGGCAAGCTGTCAAGATAATGTCAGATGTTGTCACCTTGTTCCTTGCTAGAGCCCTGGCCTGGGAGCGTGCTAGGAGCTGCTTGACCTTGGATTTTCAAGTAGGAGTTAGTAATTGCCATCTGTCTTCTGATTCATAGCCAAACCACATCCTTTCTCACCTTTACCTCCTCCTTCCAAAACTCACAGCAGCCTGGCTTGGTAGCTAAATGTGTCTGAAATGAGAATACTAGGAAGACAGTGCAGGTGTATTAGCTGTGGCTGGCGGCAGTAACAACAGAATTTCATTATGCTGTGGCTTAAACAACAGAACTTCATTTCTCACAGCCTGGGAAGTTCAAGATGAAGGCGTTGGTAGGGTTGGCTTCTTCCAAGTTCCCTCTTCTTGGCTTGCAGTTGGTAGTGTTCTCACACTGTCCTTCCACTGTCCTCACTTGCCCTGGCATCTCTCTGTGTGTCCTAGTTTTCTCTTCTTTTAAGGACACTCGTCAGAGTGAGTAGGGTTTACCGTAAGGACCTCTTTTTTAACTTAATCACTCTTCAAAAGCCCCATCTCTAAATACAGTGCAGTCACATTTTGAGGAACTGAGGATTTGGACTTTAAAAAATGATTTTTGGTGGCGGGGACACAGTTCAGCCCATAAAACAGGTTTAAATAAATGAATGTCGGGAGCAGCAGTTAGCGTAATGGCTATGTCGCTGGACTCCCATGTAGTCGACCGCAGTTCGTGTCCTGGACCCAGTGGTTTAAAACTCACACCGGGCACGTGTGCATGTGTGCCCAAGATCCCGAGAGGAGAATAGAGGAGAAGGGATTGCGGCGTGGCCATCCCCCCTGGGGGGTGATTTCTCGCTTTCTGTCTCTCTGTCTCTGTCTGGCGAGTGCACACGCCCTATAGCAAAAACCTCTCAAAAAAAAAAAATCAATGAATATCCAGAGAAACAAACACTTTTCTTTTTTATTTTAGATTTTGATGATAGCGTGTTTGTTAAGACCTCAACTCCTGAGGAGTGGATTGCTCAAGGGGAATACTATGCCAAACACCAGTGTTGGAAGGTAAGGGGCTGGACTGGGACCAAGGGCTGAGGGGTCTCTGTGACTGTGGCCTCTTTAGGCCTCAGAGGCAGCTCCCACCATCATGTTTGTCACCAGGAGAGACTCAGGGTAATGGTTTCTTCTGAAACATCAGGTCACTGTGAGTTGAGGACAGCTCCCTGTCCTACTCCTTTTCCAGTTGGCACAGGCTTACGACCTTTTGCTTTGGCCAGGTACCAGTACGTACTGGTAGGTAAATGGAGGCTCATGGCCTTTGTCCTTCCAAGGAATTCTATTTATTTTCCTCCTGTACTCTATGCTTCAAAGCTTTTGCTAGCATCATACTACATTTTAAAACAGTAACAGATTGGTCTTTCATTTTTTGTTTTCAAATCAATTAGACATAAACTTCATTGACAGTGTGACGGGTATTGGTTAAGTTTTATCATTAGACCGCGCTGACCGATTTCAAGCCACAGCTATCTTAGTGAGCCTGAGCAGTCTTCTTCCTAGAGCACTCCCTACTCCATTTCTTGCCTAATGACAAAACCTGTCTCCCATAAAGAACTGAAATGGTCAGATGGGATTGCTCTCCTAGACTCCCTTGCAGCTAAGAAGGGGCATGTGACCAGGTACTGACCAATGAGATAAAAGAGAAAGTCCATAGAGAATCTTGTGGTATAAAAAAAGATCCACAAGAAGAAAGAGCTTGCCCTTTATTCCTACCTAGGATGCTACAGAAGAGAAGAGAGTGCATGAATAGAGGACATGTTAGCTCTAGAGTAGGCCCTTTGGAATGGTGGAACAAGAGTAAAGACCCTCACTGCTTGCCCCACAGTCAGAATCCCTGCACATCACTGGGTCTCAGAGGGGCACCATGGCATCTGTGTCTCCCATGAGGTAGTGACAGTGATGTCTTACCTGTAAGTCACAAAGACCCTACTAAAAGATTTCTCTCTCTCTCTTTAAATCTGATCATAAGATGTCTTATGTTAGAGTTAGTTCTGTAGTTCAACAAAGTCAGTGTGAGCCCAATGTCATTACATTTCTTCCTGTGTCACCTGCAGTTAGTTAGAGATGTTCCCATTCATGGTGGCATAATGGCTGCTGCAGCAGCTCCGAGCACTCTCTTCTCTTCTGTAGCATCCCAAGTAGGAATGAAGGGCAGGCACTTTCTTCTTGTGGATCTTTTTTTATACCACAAGGTTCCCTACGGACTTTCTCTTTTATCTCAGTGGTCAATACCAGGTCACATGCCCCTTCCTAGCTGCAAGGGAGTCTGGGAGAGCAATCCCATCTGACCATTTCAGTTCTTTATGGGAGACAGGTTTTGCCATCAGGCAAGAGAGGGAGTAGGGAGTGCTCTGGGTAACTCAGCAACAGTATCTGCCACGTAGGCATGATCACAGGAAATTGCACATTTAGCTAAAATTTGACTACTGAGGCACCTGAAATGTTCCATGCATGCAGCTGCAGGTGATGCTTCCTGAAAGGGCAACCAGAACCAAGTTTGGGACAGGACAGATCACTCTCTTTAATTTTTATACCTCAAGATCAGGAAGGTCTAGCTCTCCAAACATTACAGGGGAAGTGTCTGGAACTCCTCTTGCCACTTCTGAACAATGTCTCAAGACAGCAATTTCTCTGGGCTCGTCCTGCTATGCCCACGATCCTTCTTTTCATTGGCGTTTCGTGGAGTTGGGCCTGAGTGAAGGTACTAGGGATTGAGGAGCACAGTGAGACCACAGGTCAGAACTAACAGAGGCTGCAGAGTGGTGTGTCTGACATACCTGAGCAAGGAAAAGCAATGTTGTCTCGGCTCTTGATCATTGCGTACAGTGGCAGGGAAAATGATTTAAATCTACAGCAAAGAACTCACATCTGGGGGTTACCAGTTGTCTGTTGCTGAATAACCAACAACCTCAAAACTTAATGGCTTCAAATACATGATTTCTGTAGCTCAGAGTTCTGTGGGTTGGCAAGGCTGAGTTCAGCTGAGTTCTTGCCTCATCCAGGCAACTCATGTGTCTGCATCCAGCTGCTGGTAAGCTAGGCAGATCTGTTACCAGTGGCTGACTGGATCATGGCTTGGGTGTTAGGGGTGACTGGGGTTCCTGGATCATGAGTCCTTCATTTTCCAGGAGGCTAGTCTGGCCTTATGTACATGATGTTCGAAGGGTGTTCAAAGACAGTGAGCAGACGCCCACAAGGCCCTGGGAGGCCCTCTGCTGAATTTTGTTGGCCAAAAGCATATCACAGCCTACATTGGAAGGGAGGGAAGTAGGCAGCACTGTGGAGGGGAGAAGCTACAAAGGTACTCTGTGAAGGGGTGTGGAAAGACAGAGGGAGGAGGGAAGGATGGCAGCAGCTCCTGCCATGTATAATAGATAGGTGGTATATATAGAGGTGAGAAAACAGAACTTGCACTGTTGTAGGTTTGAGTATATCTGGAAAGTGCTTTTATAAATGTGTAGTATTTAGCTGCAGACGCTGACCGAGCCCTTGGACTTGATTCACGGCTCGTCCTTGTGGTAACTGGGGAATAAATACTGAACACTTGGCTGTCTTTTTAAACCAATACTTTTTTGTGTGTGTGTGGGAGGGGTGGGGAGTGTTGGGGGAGGGAGGTCTAATATGGGCCAGCAAGTATGGGTATGAAGTTGCAAAATGAGATGAAATCTTCCCCTTTATTCCGGTCAGAACACTGTGGGGGTCACCCGTATATGTTGCCCATGGATTTCCAATGATTTATCCCTTTAAAAAATACCTTTTGAATGTTTGAATCTAAAATTCTTTTAGGGGAGCCGGCACAGATGAGAATGTTATAAAAAGCCTTCTCCTCTCCTGACTTTATTTTGACCCCGCTAAAGGACTTCAGGAACCAGGTGGTTTATTGAGTTTGGGGCTGCATGTCAATGAGTGTTTCAGAACCACCATACAAGATTCATTCAGTCAACAAATACCTGTTGAGCTATTGGCCAAGCTTGGGTTCGTTTAGATCCCCGGGATGTAATTGTCAAGGAAACAGGCTCAGAAGCTAGTGCCCAGTTCCAGCGGTTGCAGGTGTCATGGATGAGAGGCCAGCTATCCCTAGAGCCGTCTGTCCTTTGAGGAACGGAGTCTGGAGTTGAGACGTACGGAACAAATGACAACCAGGCAGAGAAAGGCGGGGAGAGCACTGTAGTGAGAAGGAACAGTATGTGCAAGGTGCCTACAGAGGGAAGGAGGCCACGGGAATGCAAGGAAGCCCATGGGACAGAAGAGGCTGGAGCAAAGGGCATGATGAGAAGAGACCATCCTGTCTACGTTCGCAGCGAGTGCCACTTAGTCCATCCCTTGCCGACCCTGAGGTCTGATGTCTCCATACTGGGCGGCACTCGAACTTTCTGTCCCAGGAGCCCATGAGACATGGTATCAGTATTCCTGTTTTAGAAAGCAGCTTCTTCCCGGCAGGGCTCAGGAGGCAGGCTGACTTTCCCTGTGACACTTGTCTCCCCTCCTTTATAGTCAAGGGCTTAGTAACACAGAGTTGCATGTCACAGGGATCTGGACGTATCCTCATACCATCTCTGTCCCCACTCCTACTCCCGTATGTGTGCTATAGATAGTCTACCAGCTCTGCAAGATAGCCATTATGGTTCTTGACTATGTCAAAAGCCAAAAGAGCCACTGGTGGCTTTGGACCAATTGCTCCATGGCTCTGACCTGAGGTTGCTACTGTATAGAGTGAGAAGGATGATACTTTGCACATGGATGCTGGAAGACTGAACAAGGGCATTACTTTGGTGGCGTATAAAAATATATATTATGTGCCTTTCCCATGGCTTCTGGGTACTTCCAAAAAGGAACCTTTGAGTGTGCAGGGTTAGCTGGTAACACTCTTGGGCTTTACCCCCTGAGGCTATTTCCTTAGCATCCCTGTACTTCCTGCTCCTTCCTCTCAGATTGGGCTGGGTTGAGACGCGATGCTTTCTCAGCGCAGGCGTAGAATGCCTGCTTTCACTCTTGTTCTGTATGTTGCCTTCATTGCTCTTCTGGGACTCAACACCTTTTGCCTAATCCAGGTTGCAGCCAAGTGTTATCAAAAAGGAGGTGCATTTGAGAAAGAGAAGTTGGTTCTTGCCCACAACACTGCCCTGAACATGAAATCCAAGAAACTCAGCCCCAGGTAAGAGTCTCAGGATCATTTCCGGGGGGGAGGGATCTGATGAGAGTAACAGGTCAGCATTCTGTGTGAGTACGGTTCTGTCTTCCTTCCCCCAGGGAAAAGCAGCTGGAATATTTGGAACTGGCTAAGACCTACTTGGAGTGCAATGAGCCAAAACTGTCCCTCAAGTGTCTGAGCTACGCCAAAGAGTTCCAGCTCTCTGCCCAGCTGTGTGAGCGTCTTGGAAAGGTATGGTCCCCAGCCTGCAGCTGCGCCTGAGAAAAATGGGCTTCAGTGGAGTGGACCGAGGGTGGGTCACTGGGTCACTCAGCCTCTGCTTGTGGCAGGAAGGGTCTCCAGTCCTCCAAGGAGGGAGAGGCTGGCCCTATGGGCTCTAAGGGTAGCACTCATTTTCTTACTCGATCAAGCTTTCAGAAAGCTTTGCAGTCTCTCTTCTCCTTTCTCTCTGTGTATCCAAACCACAGGGCAGATGGGTTTGAGACCATTCCTTTCTTCTCGTCCTCTCTGCTCAGTGTATAGTCAGCCTGGGCGAGTGGCCCGACGTTTACATGGGGTAATGTGTTTTCTCAGTCATTACTCAAGATCTGCACTGTTCAACCCAGCAGCCACACGTGGCTGTTTAATTTAAAATGTAAACCAATTAAAATGTAGTAAAATTTAAAATGTCCATTTTCAGTCTCACTAGCCACATTACAAATGCTCCTGGCTTTAGAACAGTTCCATCATTAAAGAAAACGCTTGGACAGAGCTGCTTGTCCAAAGCTCAGCCACTCAGAATGGTCAGCAGGCTGGCAGAGGGCCGCAGACTAATTTGTCTGCAGCAAGATTAACACCGAAGGTGAAAGTAAGCAGATAGAATTTTTATTTAATTCATTAAAGATAACGCTTGGACAGAGCTGCTTATCTGAAGCCCAGCCACTCAGACTGGTCAGCAGACTAATTTGTCTGCAGCAAGATTAACACAGAAGGTGAAAGTAAGCAGATAGAATTTTTATTTAATTGCCAGAGGGCATGTGCACTTGCCATAGAGAGACAGAGAGAGAGAAAAGGAGAATGTACCTCAACAGGGCATGGCCATGCCACAATCCCTTCTTCTCCATCTCTCCATCCTGTCTGGATTTGGGGCATGCACACACACGTTCCTGGCATGTTTTTCAAGCCACCAGGACTAGGATTTGAACCACCATGTGGGATTTGGTTCCCTTCACCACTAGGCTGCAGGGCTGGCCCATAGTTAGAAATGTTTGTAGCTATTTGGCATTGCTTACTTCCAAGTGGTGATAATTTTCTTAGTGATTCGTTTTTAACGTGTCATTTGTGAGGAACTGGAAATGTAAAACAATCTGGTCTTTTACCACAGTAGTTGTAAAAACTAGGCTTGAGAGCGTCCAACTGTGGGCTGTTGCACGTCCCCTATGTCAGGTTTTCTGACCCTCCAGTAGGAAGGTGATTTCCATGTCTGTATGAAATGTGGCAATTCTCAGGACCTTCAGATTACCCTGGACACTGGGAGGGGTGGAAGTGGGACCTACTGGGAGGTTTGAAGTGTGGCCTAAAGCCAGCCTCAAAGAAGCACTCTCCTGATGCTGCTTGGCCCTGCTCCATTTTCATCCTGAGATGTGGTTTGTTAGTAGATGGGTGATGGGGATGGAAGAGGGATACGGGAAAGACAGTTCAGTGTGGGTAGAAGGTTGGGTCCTAGATTCCAGGAGCTGGAGTAGTTTCCAGCCTGTCCTGATGCCTAATGCCCACTCTCCAGTCTTCAGTGCCATGCCTTGGACCCTAAGCAGTGACTGCAGGGGACAGACCTAAGCCTGTTGCGTTTTCCTTTTTTGTCCCCAGTGCTGGCCATGACTGAGCCAGAAACCCTTTTCTCATTTGCTTCTCCACCCTGTCCTCCTTGACAAACATGTTCTGCCTCTGAAAGTTTGTAGAACGAGAGGAGACCGAAAGAGCAGAAGTGAGGACCTCGCTTCCTTCTCTAGGACGTCCCACCTTCAAAGCGTGGAGGTCGTCCTGCTCCTGTGGCAGCTTTTCCTCTATCCTTCTGCCTCCACAGCCTCATCCCCTAGACACAGCTTCTACCCTCTTCCCCCTGTACATCTTAGTGGCTCTAAACTCATGCAGGGAAGTCTTTGCTCAGGCCCTCCCTGGAAGGGTGTTCAACCTTCAGCAAATGTCAGACCTTTTGTGTTCACTTCACCCACGTTGACTAGCAGGATTCAATCCCACCAACTGCCTTCCCTTGGCTCCTCAGGCCCAATGGCCCTCCCAAAGGACCATTTCCCAGCCCTTCGCTGTGTTGCTCTGGGGGGAAATGTGTGTGTGGGGCTCTGGCAGTGTAAGACTCCCTTTCAGGGGTGCCTTTGCTTCACCTGTTTCCTGCCTCTCTTCAAAGAGCGGCCTTGGTTTCCTCGAAGCCTCTCCAGGCCTTTGTTCTAAATGACAGGTGGGGCTTCCTCATATGTAGAGAGGAGTGACCAGAGTTGGGAGCTATCACTGAGAGTCAGTCCTGTCTTCTTTCCCTCCATTTCGGCACATACTTGGCACCAAATTGGGCCTTTATTTATGCACAGGGATTTTTTTTTAAAGATTATTTTATTTAACCTCATTTTTATTTTATTTATTATTTTTATTTGGCCAGAGAGGGAGAGAGAGAGAGAGAGAGAGAGAGAGAGAACGAGACACCCCCGTCTGGGACTCAAACCTTGGTCAGTCATGTGGAAGTCCAGCACCTCAACCAACATGCCACCTGCCTACCTTGCACAGAGATTTTTCTTCTGAGTAATCGGCATTGTCAAGAGAGGAAAAGAAACAGGGTGATTATGTGTACTTCTTATGGGGTTCTGTTGATCAGTCTAAGAACCCCCTCATCTCTGAGTTCTCAGAATGTAGAAGAAACTTGTAACTGAACCTTGTTTTTAATTGTAGTATTTCTTGTAGCTTAGCTTAGCTTTTCTTTTCTTTAAGAGATTTTTGGCTATAGAGTGCGTGGACTTACCAGAGAGACAGAAAGTGAGAAATCTCCCTTCGAGGGGATGGCCACGCTGCAATCCCTTCTCCTCCATTTTCCTCCTGGGATTTTGGGCACATGTGCAACACATGCCTGGTGTGAGTTTTAAGACGCCAGATCTGGGATTTGAACTGTGGTCAACTATGTGGGATGTTGTAGAGTGCAACTGAATGAACGACCACCAAAGTCAGATTAAGGTTAGAGGGAGTCTTTACTACCTGGCCAGGGACAACAGCCTGAGGCTCGGGGACCGAGAGTCAGAACTGCAGCCCTGACCGAAGTTTGAACAGTCATTTTATAGGGGGTCAGGGGGGTTCTATGTAAGTAGTTACAGAAGCAGAATCAAGCAGGTTAATTATTTTTGAGGGCACTCTCTATACCTTTGTTTAATGGTCTCTTTATGGTCTGCATGAGGCCTTTCTTGCAATGGAGTGGGCTCTCTGGCGTTGGGCTCTTCGTATGCTTCATTTCACTAAGTGCGACCACTGTGCTTCACAGGATGACCACGCCACTTCGTGCATGAGGGTTTTTTGCCTTCCCTACATTCTTGACCACGTTCAGGAGGTTCTGATTTTCTTAAGTCTTGCAAACGTGGCAGCTCTCACTGTGGTTTTTATTTGCATTTTTCTGATGATTGGCAACGTTGAGCATCATTTATTTGTTAGTTATTCACGTTTCTCCCACTGCAAACTATATGTCCCTTGCCTGGTTTTCTGTTGCATTATCAGGAAAGTCTTCTTCCTATGGTTTCAGGAATCTCTTCATGTTGCAGACTTGCCTAGTTAGGTATCACTATTAAAATCTAAATAATTTAATGAAATAAAATTAAAAATCGAGTTCCTTGGATGGCTAGACCCAACTTTCAAGGACTCACTATGCAGATGTGGCTAGTGGCTAGCACAGGTCCAGAGCTTTTCCATCTTCATGGAACATTCTGTTGGACAGGGTTTACCTAGATGTTAATATTTGTCTTTTTATTTCATGTGTCCCTTGTTGAACAGTATTGATGTAATCAAACCTTATCAATTTTTCTCCTGAACGTCGTATATTTTGGGAATTTCTTCTGAAGACTTTACGTCAAGATCACAAAAAATATTTTTACAATGTTCCCTAAATATTTTTCACGTTTAAAGTTTTAATCCACATGGAATTTCCCTTTGTGTATGGAGAGTCAGGTTGGAATTTAACTTAATTTTATCCCTATGAAGAATTAGTTTTCCTGGGACAAGCAGTTGGCATAATGGCTATGTCACTGGACTCCCATGTAGTCGACTGCAGTTCGAGTCCTGGGCCTGGTGGCTTAAACTCACACCAGGCGTGTGTGCATGTGTGCCGAAGATCCTGAGAGGAGAATGGAGGAGAAGGGATTGCGGCATGACCATCCCCCCTGGGGGATGGTTTCTCGCTTTCTGTCTCTCTGTCTCTCTCTGTCTTTCTGGCGAACGCACATGCCCTATAGCAAAAACCTCTCCAAAAAAAAAAAAAGAGAGAGAGAAAGAATTATTTTTCCTAATGTTATTTGTTTTCTTTTATTAGTTTTTTTTAGTTTTTTATTAGTTTTTTTTAAGGATTATTTATTTTATTTTATTAGTTTTTTTATTAGATTTTTTTTAAGAATTATTTTATTTTATTTTATTTATTACTATTTAATTTGAGAGATGGGGGTGGAGGCCACAGGGAGAAGTGAGAAAGCAAGCCACCTGGTCTGGGACTCAAACTGTGGTCTGCCATGTGGGAATCCAGTACTTCAACCACCACACTACCTTCCAGCCCCAGAGTTTTAAACTAGATTCTAACCAATGGCAGACATACAACTATCCTCTTCATTATGTATGGTCTTATTTTTAAGATTAAAAAGTCATGTTCTAAGTACCCTAAATAACAGTAAAATTTTACTCTGCTCTAGATAAAAGATGCTGCATATTTCTATAAGCGAAGCCAGTGCTACAAAGACGCTTTCAGATGCTTTGAGCAGATTCAGGAATTTGATCTAGCGCTTAAAATGTACTGCCAAGAGGAGCTTTTTGAAGAAGCTGCTATTGCGGTGGAAAAGTAGGTGGTTTTATTCTTTCCCT